TATAATATATTCCTTATACCCCACATTTCCTAGGATCAAGACGACAGAGAAGCTTTCTCAATGTCTTGGTTGAATGGAAAATAAAAACTGAGTAATATTTTGCTCATCAAGGTGTAGGTGACTTCCTTGGAGCTATTTAAATAAAATGTCTTAGGTGGTAAGTAAGAAATAACAAGAAGATACTTGGGAGTTGATGCAACAGACACATGAGCCCTGAAAACTCCTTCCTCCCTGTCTCTTCATTTCCCTTGCTTTGGGGTCAGGTGTGACAACTATGACAACAGTTGGGAGAAACTCCACTTAGATAGCGAAGGAACAAAGAGGTGGCCTCCTGTGACTTGAGCAGGATGTGACTCTCTAACAGTTCCTGTGGGTCTGCTTCCTTTTGCTGAGGCAACTTCTTGTTCAAGCCATTAGTCATACTTCTTCCCATTCTGACCTGTGAAATGCTTTGGTTTTTATTTATTTTTAAATTTTTTTCTTTAAGATTTATAGGTTTAGCTGAACTTGGGCTCTGCATGAAAAATGAAGTTTACATAGTTTATATTATGTACATAAACTAGTGATTTACATTGATTCACACATGATTGGTGCCTAATTTATTAATCAGCACACAGTATGCAAATGCGCTGAAAGGAAATCAAGATTTTAAAATAAGTTTTCCATAATATCCATAAACATTTGCACTGGCATAAATGTTAAACCTAAACCTAATGTTAACACCAGCTTCCTTGTCAAGAGGAAAGTGATATACATTGCCGGGTGAAAACAAATTCTTTCTTGAATTTCAGTTGGGCACATTTGACAACATAGCTACATGCAAAGGAGAATACGTAGTTTACTTCTCTTCCGCTAGTATGCACATAAATGTAAACTCCATTTTGCATTTAGTGAGATGTTTATAGATATTATGCCAACCATGATGGAAAATTTACATCACTGGGGCAAATGCAGTCTTTGGAGGAGAAATATTTTAAATACTTAAGAAAGGAGGATGCGGTGACCTGGATTTGTGTTTCTTAACTCAGGGTCTTATCTCACCATTTTTGTGGTATGTTTAACATTTGTCTTCAAAATATTAATCATCTTTATAGATCAGATATAGTATTATACTTACATTTCTAGAAAAGTGATAGTTTTTGGGAACCAAGACTAAATCCAGGCTAAAGGGTTATGAAGATGAAGAGAAAAATAAGGCAGTGGTTAATTCGACGGAACATTGTCCATAAGCAAATTCCTCCTAAATAAATAATTACAAAGTGGAAAAAATGGGGTTTCATGTCTTTCTAAATGAAGCATAGCTCTCTTTTTTTAACCAAATTCAGTACTTTTCTTCCCTTTAAGTTTAAACCATAATTCTAGATTTGTCTTATAATACATACAATATTGTAAATATAGCATCTGTAAAGATAAGATTAAAAAAAATACATACACATATATATTATTTTTCCACAGATAATTATTCAAGGCCTGAAAAAACAAAATGAGAAATTCTGGGAGACAAGCCAATAGACAGTCAAATTCCAACCAACCTGGGGATGGAACTTGTGACTCTGGGGTAGTTAGGAAGCTAATAACAACTCGGTAAGTAATAACTCAGAAACAATTTCATGCTGAGGAGTTTAGTTTTTGTGTGCAAAGGAGGTAAGTCCATTTTTGGAGGAGAAACAGATTTTTGTTTCTGTCCTCCAAGAACATGAAAATCACGAGTACTTTTACAAGGTCTCTATGAATAGCCCAGTTGTCTGAATATGCAGTAAAAAAAATGTCCCTGGCACGGGAGAAGTCTGACTTGGAAGAGAAGGCAAAGTTCAATAGGACAATTCTTCCTAATCTTCCTAAATCTTCCTAATCTTCCTAAAGTAAAAGCATCGACTTTTCCCTAAGCCTTAGTTCTTTTAGGGCAGAGGGATTTTAGGTCTCAAAACAAGTAAGACGTTCCTCAAACAAGGCCAAACTTTCTGATGAACAATTGCACAGAGGATATAATTCTGCAGTTGAAAAACCTAGGATAGCTCTCATTCTTCAGGAAGTGCCCTTGGTCAAGGTCATTTCTGCTTTTGTTAACTGAAATTAGAGTCTGAGATTTTGTTTTATGAATGGTGGAGTTTCATTTTGCATACAGAGGACATTAAATATATTAGCCATTCAGATTAACTGATGCATTTCACTCCTCTCAGTGTATTGTTTCCAACCAGTGGCTCTTTTCAGTGCAGCGTTTCAAGCTTTGATTACCAGTGGACAAGACTCTTGAAGGGATTTATAGCAATATGATGAACTAAATTCCAAGAAGTCCCATGTTCAGACTCAATCTCTTGGTGTCAGTCCTCTGATCCCTCACCATGTCCTTTTTTCCTGACCTTTCTCCAAACTATGTTCTCCATTCTTCACATTGCTTAGAGACATTCTCAAACCTATGAGATTTCTGGGATCAACGTTTGCTCTGAAACAGGAGCCAGGACAAATTTTTAAAATTCCCAGATCCTGCCAGAGATATATGCAAACACCACAGTATTCAATATATGTTTAATTATGTTTAATATATGGTCCATTATATTAAAACTCAGGGAACAAATGGTGCTGACATGGCAAAGACATTCCTTTCCATGGAAAATCTCCTTTCATAAAACTAAAACTTTGTCCTTATGATGAGGTGGAGACAATATGAAATCTAGGTGTATGATTAAAATCTGTGATGTGCCCCAGGGATCTGTTCCTGAAACTGATACTAAACTGAATTAACTCCTGTTGGTATTCTCTTCTTATATATCTTTAAGTTAGCATGCCCTCCTCTAAAGCTTCCACTTAAGAATGTGGCTGGCCCTTCGATATATGGGGAACATTTATCATCAAGGATGATAAGTTTTTATTCCTGTACTAAAAAAACCAAACTGTTAGAGAAATTCCTGATTGTCGATGGACTGATGCTGCATAGGTATATGGCTCATTTTCCCTATATTTCAGTAGCTACCTCCTTCAATAAGAATTTCTGTCCTCCGCTAGGATCTGTCACAAATACATTTACCCATCCCCAAGCCCAATTTGTCCTTCTGTTTCAGGTCTAAACTGCAAAATCATGAAAGGCTGATAATAAACTTCTAAAACAAATAGAAACCCCTGGAAGAGATTAAAAATGCTACTTATTAAGGAAATCATTCCTTTCAAAGAGGAGACTCAGTGCAGAGTCTTTAATTAAAATCTATCAAGAGAAATTTCAGATCTTTCTTTCTTTTCTTCCTTCCTTCCTCCCTTTCTTTCTTTCTCTATTTCTCCCTTCCTACCTTCCTTCCTTCCTCTCTTTCTTTCACTCTTCCTTCTTTATTTTTGATTTACCGTTATCAAGTTTCCTGTTTTATATTATGTGACAGCTATTTTCCCGGTTCCAAAACTTGGTGAGGTACCATATTTGGCTCTGCTGAAATACATTCAATTATGACCTCAATAATAATCCTCTATCCTTTCATAAACTAAGCCACTTCCAATGCCTCCTATAGTCTAAGTGAAAGCTGTCTTCCTGACAAAGGTATCTACACACAGAGAGCCAGCTCTCTCTGCAAGGCCTTTCCTAAGAAACACCTTCTGGTGTTGTGGTGATGCCAAACTTTGTGGTATACATACAACTTCTGCCTAAATAATTACAAGTTTCCCAGCTCTTCTGGTTAAGGAACAAACTCACCTTTCAATATTAATGGCAAGATGACTCTTATAGATGTAAACTTAAACACCGTATACCCACTGTACCTTTTTCAGGAGACTAGAAGCCAAAAGTGAGCACGGATGGTGGAATATAATGCCATTCCTAGTGGCCTGGCTTAGGATAATGATGGACTACTATGAACAATGGTGCCGCAAAAATCATCAGTGGAACAGAAGGGAGATAATGTGGGTAACCAAATAAAGAATTAGCCTAGAACACCAGGACAAAAATCTGCAAAGGTGCACAAGGAATGGATTCCTTTTTGTTATGGTCAATGCTTTGTATTAAAGCTCTGACAGTATATCTACAATATGAGGAGGGACTTGGACATCTGTCTACTTTTCCTGCCCTGCTCACTCTCACTGTCTTCTCTCACCGTCTTTTATCTGCAATAGGAAACAATCTCTGCTCAGGGGAATCCATGGAGCCAATGTAGTGTTATTTGAAGATTTGGGAGGGGGCAAAACAGGGCTGCTCAGGATCTCCACGTGGCTCATCATCCTTTCATTGGGAGTTAACTCTTGGAGACCTTTCTGCTTCTGAGATTCACTCAACACATGCTACTTGCTCCTGCAGCAGAGCAGGACTAAACCTGCAAAAAGCCAGGAAATATACGAATTCCTCAGACTCACGAAACTAGAGTGAAATCAGAAGTCTTCTCTCCCAGGTCACCTCATCCATGTCACTGATTCTTTCTACTGTTTGCTCACCCCATCAATAGTAGGCACTTTCATTTACAGTGATATTCTGAGTGACTCTCGACTGGGTTCTGATGATTGGACTAGGAGGAATATGAGGTTCTGCCCTTAGAAGGGGCAGAGCTTTGTCTGAATACACACTGATGTCATGGGACAGCCATGGATGGGGGGAGGGACTCTGGTCCTTGCCTCCTTCCCCACCAGGTCCCTCAGCAACTTGTCACAGCCGCATCTCACAATTACAATGCGGGACAGTATCTACAGCACAATGAGTCTATGTACACATGGACCATTCCCTTGGCATGCTTTAGAGAGAGACACACACGCTCACACACGTACACCCACGTGAGAGGGAGAGACTTGACCACGCACGCACAGTGGAGAAAATTAAAATGGCACTTCCTAACATTTGCGGCATGACTAGTGCTGGGGTGGGTGGGCGTGAAGAGAAGTGGGGAGGTGGGGATAGAGGGAGAATATCTGGGTTGGAGGTAGGGGAGATAGAATGCACTGGAGGGGGAGGAGATGGTCTTAAAAGTTGGAGAGATAGTGGAGGCAGGAAAGCCAGATAAAGGCTCAACACAGGACTCCAGCATGTATTCCACTGATAGTGTGAAATGGCTACAAGTCAGCTCAAATGAAAAACAGAATAAAAAGATGATGGAAATATAAATACCAAAGGCAAGACCTTATTTTTTCTTTCCCCACAGATGAAAAAGGATGAAGGAAGGATAAAGTGTGTGTGTGGGGTTAATATCCATCTGGTACCTCTTCACATGTCTTATTTTTACAACATCTGGATGTCCTTAGCACAATGTAGTCTTTATACAGCATACATTTGCTTAGATATACACATATCCTGGTAGAACTTTTCCCACCCTGAATTATACTCAAATTTTTATTGACAGACTTTAAAATTGTTTTAAATGTTGTATTTTCTTCGTTTTCTTATATCCCCCTTCATTTATAAACACACAGAGCTGTGAAATCAACGGTCTCCCCCCATCTCGCTCTCTCTCTTTCTGTATCCCGTGTGACGCATTTTTGTGTTTTTTTTTTTAATTATTTTTAAATTTTTATTCTATTAACATTTGCTGAGAAGGCAGAGCAGAGACGCTGCCAGCAGCCACAGTGGTACGGCCAGACTGATGGATCCGTTTATTCCTCTCACCGACCCAGGTCCTGCAGTGCAAAAGAGAGAGAGAAGAGAGAACAGTTACAGCCAGCCCACTCTATGTTACAGCCAACTGCTGATGGCGTCAGAGGTAAGATGGGGCTGGGGACCAGTGCCTCAAAGTCAGTGCCCTTATGTACAGCCCAAGAAGGGCTCACAATCTTTCCTAAATCCTTCTCCTTAAGCTATAAGTATCTAAAGGGGTATCATCGGTTGAAGCACTTCTAAATACAAAATTCTGCTGCTGAAGGAGGCTCTAAATTGGCTATCACTGATGTGGCTGTTGGTAAAGCAGGCTTCCCTTCACCCAACCTCCTCTTGCATGCTCTGCTCTGCACAGCACTGCGATGCCAGCACTCAGGATTCCAAACTTTAGTGAGGGTCCTTCAGCAGCCAGACATGGACTCCTCCAGCAGATTCATCACAGCATCTCCATCAACAAAACATGGAACCAATCTGTGACTCTCATTTCTCGGGGGGGAGCAGTAATTATTTATTTGTTAATGGGGAGGCGAATTGTTTCAAAGTAACACTTATGGCTGGGTGGCTCCTTGGCTGCAAGGTAGAAAATAAGTCAACTCATTGTAGAGTCTTAAGAGGCAGCAGGGGGATCATCTGGTCTGAACTCTTTTTTCATCTGACACTTTAAAAATCAAATGCAAAGACAACAACAACAATAACAGACAAACAAACAAACCTAGAGAGGTTAAGAGGCAAGGCCAAACCAGAAGCAGAACTGAGACTTGAATTTGCTCAGAATTCAGCCTGGAGTGGCAGTTTGTGTGTTTCCCACGGCCACCCTAGCATTCCCAGTGTGGACATGATTTGGAGGATGTGGGTGTGGATCTAGGAGGGAGATTGGAATGGAGAGCAGAGTGGAGAAGAGATTTGTGTGTTGACAGAAAGAGGAGGATTGGGACAGAACATCTAGGCCTGAAGAGCCTGTCTCCCATGCTTTGTTTGTTCCATTTTCTCCTTTTGTATAGTTCTGTTCCTATAGATCCATTAAAAGAAGAAAATAGTATTATTTTTCACAAATACTTTTGGATTTAGGACTGCATGCTTACACAATGATGTTCAAAAGAGAAATTTATGTGACTAAAATTATGGATCACTATGAAGTTTTGAGGGCACACATGCAGATCACTGTGTGTGATTGAGTGTGCATGTGAGTGTGTCTGTGTGTGTGTGTGCATGTGTGTTTAAACCTATGGTGGTTTGCAAGTGCAATGGAAGCATCCTCTGGCATGTGAATGTGTCCAAAACTATCTACAAATACACCAGATTCGAGTAAAACAACAAGGAAAATGTCAAATTCAAGAATGTTCTCCTAATCTATGTTTTATGTAAATAATAACAGCAACAACAACCAAACAAAACTAACAATTACATAGCACTTACTACAAGGCACTGTTATAAACGCTTTACAAATATAAGCACACAACACGCTATGGGACAGGTGCTATAAAGAACCTTGTTTTACAGTGAGATAATGTAGGCACAGAGAGGTTAAATCCATTGCACAGGTTTACGCAGCTAGTAACAGAGGAGCTGAGGTTTTTACCAGGTGGCTGGCTCCATTCTTTGCCTGTCACCATTGCAGGGTGAAGTCACACAGTGAAGGGGTGCTGGGGAGTCTCTTGTCAGACATTCGGCAAATGAAATTTGGGTTTGTTTAAAACAATAGCCAGAGCAAACAGAACAACATGGAGGCATCCATTATCTTTGAAAAAAATTATTTTCAATAGAATAGTTTTGACTAGAATGCCTTCTTAAGAATATTAAAAATATTACTTAACATAAAAATATGAATATATACAAACTTTGAACAGCATAGTTATAGTACAAAAGAAGCTTTATTACATGTAAGGCATGGAAATACAGAATAAACAATTTAAATATTCAATCAATCAATTCTTGAATATTCTAAATGGCTAGAGGATCATATTAATAGAAGGCACTTTAGCCACATTCAGGTTTGTGCTTTTCATGAGGAATTGAGGTTCAAGTAGATTATGGCTCCTGCACAAAGCACCCGATTCCTAACTGTTGACCAGGCACTAGAATCCAGGTGTTCTGAGTCTCGGCTCCACGCCCTTCCTAATCCACCCCTCCCTGATCCCATTCCCACCCTTTTTGGCCCTTTGGGACCTTTAAGCTCTCTTAATGGTCACTCCCTAGGGCTCCCAGCCTGATGGCAGTGTGTTTCCTGATCATTTTAGTTCCTCTAGATTCTTTAGATGGCATGAGCTCTGTGGCACATTCGTTGAGATTAATGTGTCTGTGAAGCGTCCATAACAGAGAAAGACTACACACGAATTGACGCCATACAGGGTTGAGCAAAAATGATTTGTTTTTCCCTAGGGATAGTGTGAAACAGGAGGTTGTCAGAAAGAGTCTAATTCTGCCTATTTCCTTAATCTCATTTTTAGTGCTGGGACAGGCTGGATTATCTTTCAGACATCTTGGAGTTGGGTGGTACCTGGGGAAGGCTAAAAAGCCCAGTCTTATCATTTTATTTGAAGGGTAGTAAATACTTGAGAAAGCAAAAATTCCACCACCGAAAAATATAATAAAGACATATATGAACCTAGGTAAGCATGTTCGCATATAACATTCTTGCTAATGTATGTACACACATATATACGCAGATACAAAGAGAATTGTGTTACATACATATTCATATAGACACATAACGATATCCACACAAATTATTGGCCTTTTAATACACACAGTTGAGAATTATGTTACTTTCACGTGCTATTCTATGTTATCTATAGGGAATCCCAATATGACTGTGTTAATAATCTTCAATTTTATCCTTAACAGAATTGTTATTACATATTTGAAATGCATTTTGTGGATCTGTTAAAAGTAGTTTCATCTCTATCAATTATTACTTATTAAGTGCTCTCATATAGCTATTTGATGTGCTTATATGACTTGCTCTTTTCATAATTGGTTTTGAGAGTAAATAAATAGGCTTGAAAAAATGCAAGGGTAAATGGGTGCTAGTGGGGGAATCATCACAAGTGTGTATGCAATTATAGATATATACGACTGCATAGGAGACTACTTCAGTTAATGGCTATTTCAGGGAAGAATAATCAGCAAAATCATTAATTATGTTTTAGTTCATAGTTATGAAATTTCTGCTTATTTGTGGAAATGCAAATGATAAATCTTATTTCCCATACCAGATGGCCAGGCTCAGCAAGTGCTTTTATATACTGACAGAGAAAATGAAAGCAAGAGTCTGCAAACATAAATTAGCCTTAAGAATAGATGAGCAAATAGAACCACAATTCAAAAATTGCTACATGTTTTTCATATAAGAGACAAAAATCACATCTCGGTATTTAGCCACATTCTACATGTGTGTATGTGTGTGTGCACACACTTATATGTGTGGTCTCTAGTAAACATTCAATAAATGGTAGCATCATAGTTATTGTTATTAACTGTAGAAGTTTGGACTACAGAAAGGCATGAAATACCCCTGAATCAAAGGCATTGGTTTGTGAATTGGGTCAAGGCTTTTAATGTTTGATCCGAAGGGGCAAAATTCAGCTGCGGCAAGATTGGGAATCTTGAGTTGACACACAAGTTCAAGGTTCTCAACCCCAGGACAGAATGGTGAGATTCTGTATCAAGGTGAATGCCAGACCGCACTTGGTCATAACGATGCTTATAAAGGGGAAGTTGTGATTAAGGGCAAGATTGATAAAACATTCTGAAATTGCTGGATATGAGAATTTTTTGGCAAGTCTCTACACTATGAATCTGATGCAGGATGGTAGCCCAATTGATTCGTCTTTCAGTAAAATCTCAAAGAAAGGACAAGTGATTTTTCAACACTTGCTCTAGAGATCAAGGGCTTGAGACACTTCGTGATTCAAACCTGGCCAACACATTTCTGTTGCTTTTCCTGAGTACTTGGGGCTCATTTCCTGGATTTGGGACTAGATTTATTCAAAATAATCATTAATCACAGCCTCAGTGGTCCTTGGGCATTCCTTTCAGCCACTAATGAATCGAGGTCAATTGTAATTTTATTCCTGTACATAGTTCAGCCATACAGGAAAAGAAGAAAGTCCCGGCGAGTTTAAATTTGAATTCTTAGAATTATTAAAGGCTGACTTAGTGACTGAAAATAAAACAAAAACCTAAACAATATACAAGACAGTTAAGTGAAGGAAAAAAATAATCTCCTAAATCTCTCTTAGATATGCAGACTAAGACACATCTGTGTCCTGGGAAGCCATGTTTAAAGGAAAGCCTGATCAGACAGACTTTGGCGCCACCTACTCTCCATTTTCAGTCAGTACGGCTTCCTCTGGGCGAATGAATCGGGAATTAAAGCCTATAATCTCCAGGCTGGAGCAGATTAGAAGACGGGACATATTGATGTTTTCTTTGAGCAATTTGTCTTAGAATTAAATTTGGGCTCCTCCCGTGTAATTCTTTATGCATTATCTCCCCTCTCTATCAAGTGAGTCTTGGGTAAGGCTGAAGCATTCTCACAGTAAAGTTGGAATTACATCTTTTCAATCAAAACAGCATCAAATATTTTGGCATGCAAAATTTTGAAATGTTAGGCCAATACTTAGAATTCCTTCAGGTGACACTAGGAATTTATCTAGATGGTCTTTGAAATTAAAAAAACGACAACAAAACCCCTAAACCCTATTTCTCCATCCACGCTAAAGCCCTGAGGTATTATGTGTTCCACTAACACTAGACACTTAAGATTCAAATGTAATTGATAATCATGGCATTGGGGAGAGGAGAAGGGCTAAAGACGACAGTATTTTATACCTTCTTGCCCCAAATGACCTTGGTCCTATGTATATATTTCTGGTTGCCTCTTCCGTGCTGCCCTCTGTGAGGACTTGCAAGAACTGGCCATAAACAAGGTGCTGGCTCTTTCCTAGGAATCAGCAACAAAGTGTCTATAATCTCTGTGGCTCTTGGTCACTGGTAGGGTCTAAGTCCCGCAAGAATCGATTTTCACTATTGAGAACAGTCTTGGTTGTTTCATCCCCTTTGAGGCTTAGAGAGGCTATAAGACAATTATCCATCCAAGTGGGTGGCCGTGAGGACTTAAGGAGGGTGGTGTCTGGCCACACAGATTTCTCTGTGGACCTGGTCTGGGGACAGACACTGTTAGAGAGTTCTGCTGGACTTGTAAAGAGGGCATCTCAGGATTGGTCATTGTTTGCATCTTAGGGTCAATTTCATGAAGCTTTAACTTTTGATTGTACTGTCTTTGTAGGAAAAGATATGTGGATTATGAGCCTCATGGTTGATGGAGATATGTGGGGCAGTTGGAGGGCACAAAAAGGCAGTTCCTGGGAGATCCCAGCAGCCCGGGTGTATTGCAGAAGGGAGAGGGTATATGAAGACCTGCGAGAATGCTGAGGCAGGAGGGAATGTTAAATGTTCAAGTGCTTCAGTTTAGAAGACCCTGCTCTATTTCCTTTAGCAATGTATCTACTTGACTAGCCAACAAGGGATGATAAAGTAGGCTCTATGTTTCTTCTGAGAGCCCTGTCGTTGGGCAGTGGACATTTCCAAAAGTGCAGCTCTGCAAGAATTAACCATGGACATTTAAGGAAAGTGTGGGGTGGGAGATAACTTGCTCAGTTCCAGAGATTTAAAAATGAATAACCATCAAGAGCAATGAAGGGGTCATGGGTTGCATCGGACATTTTTGTGAAAGAGAAAGTTCACAATTTGGGAAAAATAGTGGCAAATGTGTTATGGAAATTATTATCACAAATTATTGAGATGAAATAAACTCAAGTGCATAAAACCCGATATATTGCTGTGAAATCTTAATTCTAACATATAGAATGTAATTGGAAATAAGAACCATACCTTTTTGCTTGAAGTGCACGGTGGTGCCAATTTCTAAAAAAGAAACATTTAGCAAAACAAAAACAGGTAAAAAATTCTTTATCAATTGAGAATAAAGCACAAAGCTAGTCCAGCACTTTCCACTGAAAGGAGAATGAGAGAAAAGGTGGAAAGAAAATTCTAATAATAACACATATTGGTGGAGATTGAGAGAAAGGCACATGGAAAGATTGTTTTGTTGGATCAAATATTGTGCAGTTGGAGGTGGCAAAAACAATTTGCACCTGCAAATACTTGATGTTACATGTTGTGTGTGTAGACAAGTACAAGAACTCTGAGTTTGGCGTGTAAAAAGACCCTTGACTGCAATTTAGAGGAATGATAGAGTGTCTAACTCCCAGCCTCATCCTACCATTTTGCCCCTGGTTTGCTCCGCTCAAGCCAATGGACCTTCTTGCTTTTCTTCTATCACACTAGATCCATTCCAACTTTAAAACATTTGCACTTTCTTTTTCATCTGCTGGGAATGCTCATCCCCCAGATCACTGCATGCCTCACTCAGTCACTTCATTTATATTTCTGCTGAAATGTCACCAACTCAGGAAGGACTCCTCCCACGGCCTTATCAAAAATGGTGCCCTCTGTTACTTTCTATTCCTTTACTCTAATTTCCTAATATTAATAGCATTTATCACTACTTGGCATCATGTTATACATTTACTTATTTGCTTGTTTAGAGTGTCTCTTCCATTAGCATATATGCTCTATGAGGGCGGCAACAGTGTATATCTTGTCAACCATGGTATCCCAGGTGCCTAGAGTAGAGCCTGGCATGCAGTAGGTATTCAATAAATATTTGTTGAATGTATAAATAAATCTCAGGATTGGAAGAACTCATATAGGTCAAATACTTGGATTCCCTTTTAAGTATCCTTATCAACTAAACTATAATACTCTTAGATCTTTAGAAGTAAATAGGGAACATTTCCATAGGATACCACTTTGAATCTCAAGATCAGCTGAATCGTTGGTCAGACATAGGAGCCCAGACCATGGCTGTGGGATATGGATTTTCTTCTCTGTGAAGATCAGAAATAGCCTTGCATCCCTGAATAATATGCTTTCACTAAGGAAGTAAAGTGACGGGACTCTGAAGCCAGAGAGAGCCTTTTGAATTGAACATCAAGTCACTTCATTATCCTCCTTGAAACTTGTTCATGCTTTCCTGTGGCTTCCAGGATAAATACCAAAGTCCTTACCATGGCATCCACAGCTCTGCCTCCTCACATCTCCAGCCTCATCAATGTTTATTATCTCTGCATTCCAGCCCACAAGCTTTCCTTTACTCTCCATGGTACCATGTTTTCTCTGTCATAGGGCCTATGGCCCAATGATATCTCTACTGGAAATCCCACTCATCCTTCAGAATTCAGTTATAACTTCCACAGGGAAGTCTTCCTTAGTCTCCTTGGTAAGATTAAGTCCCTTTATTATAAGCTCTGCTCTCCATAATGCTCATCTCAGTTTTAATTTCAAATGCATTTGCCTGAGGTTTTGATTAACGCTTGTCTTCACTACTGGACTGTGAATTCCATAAAAGCAGGGCCTGTGTCTGTTACTGTTCCCTGTTACAGCACAGCCAACGCATGAAGGCTCTCTGAATGCACAATGGGCCAAAACAGAGGATCTAGAGTCACTGAAATATGAGGAAAATCAATATATGCCAAGCATCCTCTTAACAGAGGATCTGAGAGTCCATTAAAACAACAGAGAATCTGGGTAGCTAAATTCTTTATTCTCTGATTTAGCACAAAGCAGTCAGATCTTCAGAATCAGATATGCAAAGTTTCTGAGGTTCAATGCAATCTATTAATCCCTCCTTCACAGATTTTCCATTTGTCCATCCAAAGGAGGTCACAAGGAGAAGCCTTCAAACAGCATGCTGTTTTCTGGCATTCTCATGACAGCTATGAGAAGGGCCCAATTGTCCTAGAGTCTGAAGCCTTGAAAATGTTTGGCTACAATTCAGCATTAGCAAAACTATTGTTGGCCAGGCTGTTCGTAAGAGCAAGGTATGTCTACATGCAAAGACAGTTTCCTGAACTGATCAGATGCATGGGTCGGGGGAGCCCAGCGTGAATGTTCTTTTGTATCATGACTGCTGGTGGACCTCCAGATTCTGCTGAAGATGCTCAAAGTCACTGGCACCTGCCCTTCTGTCCTTGAAGAGGTAGTCCATTACTTGCAGAGGTAATGGAAGTCTTCTGTACAGAAGTCCATACAGAAGGATGGAGCGAGATTTCTGCTCCTCTCCTAGCAGAAGCCAGCAACTGATGTCTCTCACCCCAAAGGGAAGCTGGGTTCTATTACGATATAAAACACCAGTCTCTGCCTATTCACCACACTGATCATCTGACCGCTAACGTTTCAATTGTATATTAAACACACTGCCACTTGCTTTCTTTCATAATACCTGCTCTGACAACTTTTCTTTGACATCAGCATATTGCCTTAACAATTGTTGAAAAGGCACTGTAGAGAATGTGCTCATCATAATATGAAGAAACTGAGGTCGAGAGAGGCTAATCAGTTATCCAACATCACATAAACGGCTAGAGGCAGAGCTGAGACTGAAATTCAGGGCTCCTAGTTCTCCTGCCAGAACCCTACCCATTATTCCACAATACCGCTCTGGTATTTTTATGAAAACAAGGCTATATAACTGTAGCCTATGTAACTCTGGGGTTATCACTGGGATGTTTAAATGATTCAATATCAAATGGGGAGTTTGGCTCTGCTCTTGTGCAAAGTGCAACTTCCCTTCTTTCTTAGGTCAGGCCTTTTGTCTTATCACTCTTTAGAATTTATAAATTTGTGATTTATATCTCAGGTCACAGAGTGATGCTCCTCACTGACAGAGGCCTAGATCCCTGATGGGACCATGTTCATGTAAAGAACACTTGGTTTCCTCTGCTCCATCCCTGGTCCACAGGCCTCATGGGAATAATTCCAAACAATTGTCCAGAAACCTGGGCAGGCAGGAAGACCAACGGTTCTGCTTAAGCTAGAAAATATCACTTCACATCTCTTTGCTTCAGTTTCATAATCTGTAAAATGAGTTTAATGAACACTCCTCTTATAAATCTGTGCTACAATTAGATACATTAATGGTCATACTGTACATAGAATGCTGCCAGACACATAGCAAGTGCTCAAAAAATAAGAGTTGGAATAGAACATTCTCTTTTCAGGAGCAAAATCCTGTATTTTTTTTGAGGCTGGCTCTTTGAAAACTTGGTTGTAGGCTGCCATCTTGTGGTAATACTGAGACATGTTCCTATGTGCAGTCTAAAGGAATCACCTTTGTCCACCAGGTGGCAATAGTGGGAAAAAATTTAAATCAGAGCAGGCATGAAATGTTTCTTTTCAAAAAGGAGTCTTTCTTGTTCTCACAGATAAGAAAATTTTTTTTTTGGTCCTTAACAACTGAAAATTATTATTCTTTTTCTAGTGACGGTGATCTCAAGTTTTGAATAAAACTGCCTTGCCAGGGATATTATTTCTGTAGAAATTCCCTGGGCACGCTTATTAGAATACACCTGAAACCTATGATTTTTATTCCTTCCCATAATACTTCTCTTCACATATTGATCTTGCTTTAGCAAATACATTTAACAAGTAAGCATGGCAGTGCAGGTCCAAAGAATAAAATAAAAAGATAAATTTACCATAGCCATACAATGGACAAAACTTTGGGAGAGTCTACTACACACAAAGAAAGTTCTAGAATTCTCTGGAAGCATTATTGTCATATGCTTAGATCTTAGGTCCTGATGGGGGGGTACAAGGAGGTGATGGGGAAAATAATTTAATACCAGAAAAGGAAATGTCCTGACAAATTTATTTATGCTAACCTGTTTTTGACTTTTGACTTTCAGATTCTTTACACCCAGCCACGTTAGACAAACCTGCAGCATCGAAAAGCTGATTCAGCCTTTCTCATTGGCACTGACAATGTCTTCCTTGTTCTGTAGCTTCAGCTCACTATGTCTCTAGCACAGAGTAAGTGTCCAATAGATTTGAATAAATGCCTGAGTGCATGAATGAATGAATGAATGAACTCATGAGTGAGTGAATGAGTGAGTGAAAGAGTCAATTAATACCTCAAAAGCTGCCCTAGCTAAGATTCTAGATAGGGGAAGATTCTGTTCTCCTTTTGGAACCACCATGCCTTAACGCAAAGGCAAAATTATTGTTGGGAATTCACAGTCATGTGAAGGCCCATATGGGGCCAGGAGGTTATTTCATCATTTCTGGAGGGTTGAGCTTTCTTTAAGAATCCTCACAACTAATGAAAATTTAAACCTTAGAAAATAAAAACCCACGTTACTTTTTTGTTCAAAGGCCAGAAGATTTATTCTCTCTCTTAGCTCCCATCTCCCATTGTGTAGTATGATTAAGTCTCTCTGCAGAAATTAGAGTGAGTGTTGGGAAGGTGTGAGATGCTTCACTGGAAACCCTGAAGTGTACAGTCTGGTAACTCCCTCATTACCTAGGGAAATTCTCATATCTATTTTTATGAACGATTTGGCATTTTGCTGTCTTTGAGTTCTGTCTGAGAGAGGAGATGATGGTATCACAAATCCATAAGGAGAAGAATTGATTTTTAGTGCTTTGACTCTTGACCACTTACCTCTCTAATCCTCTGCTTATAAGCACTCCTTCCAACGCACAGGTAGGATACGTAGAGTTTGGGGGTTTATATTGTTTGTGCAGTTGTTCTAATTCCAGGGGGCTTACCTGAACATAAATGGCTCACTTTTTAACCTGCCACAGCCATTTGAACAAGGAAACATCCTCTCTTCTGTGGAGTATGGCACAACTCTTTCTATAAGACCAGTCTTCTGATGTGCCACAGGTTTTGAAAACAACATATTAGTAGAGGATTTAAAATAATTAATGGCACCTTTTTTTTTTCTGGGCCGGAACTAGTAAGAGTGTATGTTCAGGGAAGGGGGAGTGTTCAAATTCAATAGGGATTTTATCCTCCAGTT